TTATATATATATTCATCCATTAATTCCATTTATTATGAACATAAGAAAATTCAAATTTATTTTACTTTCTCAATATTTTATATATATATTCATCCATTAATTCCATTTATTATGGATGTAAGAAAATTCAAATTTATTATATATATCCATTAACTACAGATGTAAGAAAATTCAAATTTATTTTACTTTCTCAATATTATACTGTATATATATATATTCATCCATTAAATTCCATTTATTATGAACATAAGAAAATTCAAATTATTATATACATCCATTAATTATAGACAAGAAAATTCAAATTTATTATATATATATATTCTATTTATTATGAACATAAGAAAAATTCAAATTCATTATCATAAAAAAATTCAAATTTATTATACATACATTCATCCATTAATTATAGATGTAAGAAAATTATATATATATTCATCCATTAATCCTATTTATTATGGATGTAAAATTTATCTTCCCAATAATTCATATATATATTCTTATTTATTAACTTTATTATAGTTTCAATAATATCAGAGCCTGGTATTTATTAATGTATGAAATTTATAATAGTCATGATGAACCAAGATTTTTTATTGAAGAAAAATATAGTAACTTATTATAATTTGAATTATTAATATATCAAGAAAACATGCTATATATTAATTCAAAAAACAGCATCCTTGATATTGCTTAATTCTAGGTATGCATGCATAATAGCTATAAATTCATATATTGTATGTAATTTAAAACTCAACGGGTATGCATTATTTTAATTTATATATGAAAGGATCTGCATAAATTTAGCCAATCATTTTTTGTTTTGATTCTTTTTTAGAATTACACAATGAATCTAGAATGTTAATCATTACAGTATTTGGAAATTCCAAATTTGGAAATCTCCCTGACTGTATTATTTCAAATTTAATTTAAATAATTTGCAATTTTGTCATTACACTATAGCTTCAAAATCGATTAAACTTTAAAAGGTCTTCAGGTGTAGAACCCTTCTTTGAAGATCATTCTTTAATTAGCAACAATGACACGGTTACCAATTCCTTCCAAACATTATCGCAATCTTTTTATTATTGTTTTTCCCACGAGTCATTGGAAAAAATCGCCGTTCTATTTTTTTTTTTTTTTTTGATAATATATTATTCAAATATTTTCTCTTATATATTACTCTACAAAAAATTCTTTATCGTTTTTTTCAACAATTCATAATTACAAAGTAATTTCAAAAAATAATCAGAAGCGGGACACTAGTTTTACTTGTAAATTTCATTCATTTCATTTTATTTTCTTATTAAAAGTGTATAAAAAGAACAATAGTAATCATAAATCCTCCAAAAAATATATTTTATGCATAATATATATTTATACGCGTATATAAGATTAACAACAAAAAAGAAAAAAAATAGAAATAATGAATGAACGACTTTTTCGCCTACCATTTGAATCAAACGATGATGAGCTTGGCCCGTGGGATGTTTTGCTCAGTAGTGATGCAATTGCAGATATGAAAAAATTAGAGCCCCTTGCAATCAAAGCAGTCATGGAGAAACTCATGCAAATATCAAGCGGAAAATGGAATAAGTATGGACTGCAACATACTGTACAATCTTGCATTGTACCTGTTTATGAGGTGGAACTTCCAGATTATGGTGGCTTGAAGATTCTCTGGCAAGTTGATTATGGATTTTCTATTCGTAGAAATTCACTCATGCAACATGTGGCAATTTGGACAGTCACCGTAAACCAAGAGCAAATCAACGAAATATTAGAAAATGTTTCATTACTTCATCAAGTCTACACTCCTGAGCATAAATGCTGGTGCACATTGCAACAACAGATTGGCAAAGGTAATATCATTTTACCAAAATCATCCTTTGGAGATGAAGAAACAACAAAATCTACCCAGAGCAGATTGATGAAGAACCAAACAGATGATGAAAATTTGTTGAAGGTCCATGAAATGCTTACCACAAATAAATTTGTTCCATTATCAAAGGTAGTGTATGAGCATGGACAATTAAAGATTTAAACAAAACACATTTTAACTGGAGTTACATATTAATATATAATTTTTGCTTCCAGAATTTATTTAGGTCACTTGTCAGGGGTGGTACTAAATTTACTTTTCAGGTATCTAAGCTTGAGTATGAAATTATTAACCATCCTTCATCAGCAATTGTCATTGGTCGTTCTGGTTAGTGTTGTTGGTATAGGTTTCCCTTATAATTGGGAAAAGATTAACATTGTTTGTTCTATTTGATGATATCCAGGAACTGGAAAAACCACATGTATTGAGTTTAGACTTCTTGGTTCATATTGGGCAAGTCAACTCAATCAGATGTCATCTTCAAATGACAATAATTCTAATTCTCACAAAAGGCAAATATTCATTACATTGAGTAAACGCCTATGCTGTAAAGTAAAAGATGATTTCAATGAACGGTTAGAAGCAGCAGAATCTGGTAATGAAAAGATGACTGAGGCTCAATTTAATGAGTATGCAAAAAGAAAAGTTTGTAGCAATATTGATATGAAAAATGTGACAAAACAGGGAAAGGGAAATATTGTGGATTATACTCCAAACTCATTCAGTGAGCTTGAAGATGGCCATTTTCCATTGATAATTACATATGAAACATTCATTAAAATGCTTCTGAGAACTTATGGCATTAATCTATTGAATCCAACCAAAAAACCAAATTTTGATACAGATGACTATGTCTCAGATGCATCATGTAAACATTTTGTAGACTACAGACTCTTTGCAAAAAAATATTGGTGTCATTTCAATGATTATTATAGAAAGAACTTTGATTGTGGGCTGGTTTTCTCTGAATTTTCTATCATTAAGGTATATAATGATATGTAAAATTCCCACATCTCATCATTTTTATTTTGTTGGTTCAAATTTATTGTTATAATTTAATTAACTGTTAGTTATGACAATGCTCTATTTAAATGATTTTTTCAAAATTTCCTAAGGGCTTTAATCCAGAGGGTGAATATCTATCAAGAGAAGATTATCAAGTCATTAGCACTAAAAAATTTCCTGCATTTTGCTACAATCGTGATGAAATTTATGATTTATTTCTAGAATATGAAAAGAAGAAAGCCTGGAATTATGACTATGACTCAATAGATCAGTAAGCATCAATCAGATAATATATAAACTTTCATTTTTTGATTTGACAAGTTATCAACCTTTTTTTAGGACAATTGCTATCTTAAATCATGCCAAGAAGGAACCACTTGATTGTTTGCAAATTCATGAAGTATATATTGATGAGTGCCAGGACAACAGCATTGTGGATTTAGCACTTATTTTAAAGCTCTTTGAACATGCTGACAACATTTTTTTTGCTGGAGATATAGCACAATGTATTTCAAAGGGATCATCTTTCCAATTTCAAGGTATGAATGCAAGGAAGAAGCTAAGGATAATTATAAAAATTTACTCCTATAATAGTCATATATAATAACAATGGTTTAACCTTAATATAGATCTGAAGGCTTTGATATATAAATGGGAACTTGATCGATCCAATCGACCTAGTGTCATAATGCCAAAGCAGTTTGAAATGAATATTAATTATCGTTCACACAATGGGATCCTTAGACTTGCTTCATCAGTAATTGATCTCATCACTCACTTTTTTCCTGAGTCCATTGACAAGCTGCCACATGAGTGTGGTGAAGTTGGTGGTCCTCGACCAATTGTTTTTGAAGGATTAGAGGATGGGAATGAGTCAAGTAATAATGGATTTGGTGCTAGGCAGATCATTATTGTACGTGATGAAGAAGCTAAAGAGCATTTGAAGAAAAAAATTGGTGAAGAATTTGGATTGATATTGACTGTGTTTGAGTCCAAAGGCATGGAGTTTGATGATGTATTGTTGTATAATTTCTTTGCTGATTCACCTGCATGTTCAAAGGTAAATTTTTTGCCTATTTTAAACACACCACATCATTCACTTATTAAATAATTATTTGCACATATTTAGTGGCGAGTAATTTTCTCTGCTTTTGGCAACCATTCAAAAGGAATTCAAAAATTTTATCATGAGAAACATTATATACTTTCTTCAGAGCTTAAAAATCTTTATGTTGCAGTGACAAGAGCACGTCAGAAAATTTGGATATATGATGAAAACACTGTATCAAGGGAACCAATTTGCATGTATTGGGAACACCATGGATTGATCAATATAATTAAGAATGTATATGGAAATGAAAACTATGTGGACAAAGAAGAGAAAAACATTACATATCAAAAGCAATCTAATCAGGTAAAAATTTCTCTGTCTACTTTGGCCAAGAAAAAGAAAAGCAGTCCACATGAATGGGATCAACAAGGAGAGATTTTTTTTGAAAGACAGCAATATGACCAGGTAAATATTGCATTTGAAATATTCTATCATGTGATGAACTGAATTAACTAAATGGAATTAAACCACTTTCAGGCTATTTTTTGCTTCAAGAAAAGTAAAAATAAAGAGAATGAAGAGCTAGCAGTAGCATATCTTCTTCAGCAGGTTGCCAGAGATTCTATATATGATGATGATGATGATGCTGCTGTGAATTCCAATTTTGTTCGTGCTGCTGAGGCCTTCATAAAATGTTCACTACCAATTGAAACAGCTTCATGCTATCAGGTAAAATCTTTGTTTTTCTTAAGAAATGGATGGCACCAATAGTAACTTTAAAAAATTGGTTACATCTATCTGAACACTAATTTATAATTGATACTTAAAACTCTACAAAATATCTAGGAGATCGGTATGCATGAAAAAGCTGGTGATATTTGTGTAGAGTGGAATAAGTTCGAGCATGCTGCTAATTGTTATTCTAAAGCTAAAAAATGGGATAAAGCTGGGAATAATTTTCAAAAGGTGGGGATGTATAATAAAGCTTTTGTTGCCTACAAAAATGGTGAATTTTTTGAAAAAGTAGAAGATTTAATTCATAGGTAAGCTCATTTCCATGTATCTTAAATAATTTGATGCAATTAATGCTGCATATGTATATTATTGCTATTACCAAAGCATAGTTTATTGAAAAAATAAGCATAGCACAATATCTGGAATTTTTTTGTGTTTAAATAAAACTTGCAGATGATAATCTGACACCTATTTAATTATTTTAACAGTTACAGACAAGAGATTGATGAGAATCTTATTAGCACTCATTATCGATCTGTTGCCAGTGGACTATGCTTATGTGGCAAGTTTGAAGAGGCCACCAATATTATTATCATGAATTTGAAAGAGATCAACTCAGAAGACATCAATGTGTTAAAGTGCTTTGTACACCTATGCAGAGTCAATGTAATAACAAATATAATGACGGATTTAAATGTCAAACAGGAAGTGGGTAAACTTCTTTCCAAGGCAAATGATTTTCTAAAGAAATTCAAATCTGAATCTGAGCAATGGAAGAGCTTGGCAAAAGAGATTCAATTATATGTAGCTTATTTAAATCAAGACCTCAATAATGTTTATGAGTGTATGCAATTCTTTAATGGTCGCAAAGAACTTGTTGCTGAATTTTGTGCAGTAAACATATGTCTGCAAATCATTCCTCAATCAGCAGAATACTGGCATGAACAATTGCAACGTCTGTTAAGGTTATGTGAATTAACTTTTGATTTTATAGCATCAGATCAAAACACCAACAATATTGAGAAAATTTTTTTTGTAAATAAAGTTGGAAATTATTCACATAAATGGAATATATTTTTAGGTAATCCACTTCTTCATGTATGGGATAAAATTCAACATAAAATCATGAGCTATTGGCATGTTTATGATATGAATAGTTTGCACATGAAAATGAAGCAGTTCCTTGCCTCATATATCTTTGAACTCATCTGGGATGTTGATCAGAAAAGTAGATGCATTCCAGATGTGAGTTCTCATATCTGTCAATTTCTTCCATCCTGTCAAAAATCAGGTTGCAAAAATCATCATGTAGTCCCAACACCATTAATTCTGAACCAACGCTTGAAACTTGCAAGTCTTACTTATACTATTATTAGACAGTTGAATGTGATGTACAATCAACATGAGCTTCTTAGAGAGGAGCAAAGTAAACAAGTTCCTGGAATACAAAGGAGGTGGGCTGAAAATCTGGTTAAATTTCATATTCGTTATCAATCACCACAGGTAAGCTGCCCAGAAATAACTCAAATGATGCTTTCAGAACTTCCTAAACACACACGTTCTGGTTTTATCAGCTATGTTCAAAATATATGGATAACTAAAGAGCTCAAGGTTGACAACTTTGCAGCCATGCTAAAATGCATATTCATTTTGCAACAGTTGAAATACAAACAGGGCATTAATATGTTTGATTTGGAAATGTCAAAAACAAAAAAGCTTTCATACCATGATTATTTACCCATTGGTTTTGAGAAGTGTGGCAATGATCAAGCAATTCCAGTTGGAAAACAACTTTCATTATTCTTTGAAAATCTCTATAAAAATAAAGTCATTCATGCAATCTCAAATGCAAAATTGTTTATTAAGTATGCTTTAGACAATGCCAAACTAGTCCAATTGGATGGCCCTGATGCTTTAGGTGATCTTGTATCTCTTATGGAGTTTAAAGTATCTTTGATTTTCATGGCTGGTCCTGATCATTATGATTTTTGCCTTCCTCGAGCATATCTTGTTAATTTTTTTAAAGCATTCACCATGAAACCACTCTTCTTTAAATTTAATCAACAAAATAAAAATGATGAGATGTGGGAATTTTACATATCATTATATACCTTAATGATAGAAAATTCAGAGAAAACCAGCCCACAATCAAAGTTCTTTCTATAATAATCATTGAAATGACACCAATATTTTTTTGCAAAGAGTCTGTAGTCTACAAAATGTTTACATGATGCATCTGAGACATAGTCATCTGTATCAAAATTTGGTTTTTTGGTTGGATTCAATAGATTAATGCCATAAGTTCTCAGAAGCATTTTAATGAATGTTTCATATGTAATTATCAATGGAAAATGGCCATCTTCAAGCTCACTGAATGAGTTTGGAGTATAATCCACAATATTTCCCTTTCCCTGTTTTGTCACATTTTTCATATCAATATTGCTACAAACTTTTCTTTTTGCATACTCATTAAATTGAGCCTCAGTCATCTTTTCATTACCAGATTCTGCTGCTTCTAACCGTTCATTGAAATCATCTTTTACTTTACAGCATAGGCGTTTACTCAATGTAATGAATATTTGCCTTTTGTGAGAATTAGAATTATTGTCATTTGAAGATGACATCTGATTGAGTTGACTTGCCCAATATGAACCAAGAAGTCTAAACTCAATACATGTGGTTTTTCCAGTTCCTGGATATCATCAAATAGAACAAACAATGTTAATCTTTTCCCAATTATAAGGGAAACCTATACCAACAACACTAACCAGAACGACCAATGACAATTGCTGATGAAGGATGGTTAATAATTTCATACTCAAGCTTAGATACCTGAAAAGTAAATTTAGTACCACCCCTGACAAGTGACCTAAATAAATTCTGGAAGCAAAAATTATATATTAATATGTAACTCCAGTTAAAATGTGTTTTGTTTAAATCTTTAATTGTCCATGCTCATACACTACCTTTGATAATGGAACAAATTTATTTGTGGTAAGCATTTCATGGACCTTCAACAAATTTTCATCATCTGTTTGGTTCTTCATCAATCTGCTCTGGGTAGATTTTGTTGTTTCTTCATCTCCAAAGGATGATTTTGGTAAAATGATATTACCTTTGCCAATCTGTTGTTGCAATGTGCACCAGCATTTATGCTCAGGAGTGTAGACTTGATGAAGTAATGAAACATTTTCTAATATTTCGTTGATTTGCTCTTGGTTTACGGTGACTGTCCAAATTGCCACATGTTGCATGAGTGAATTTCTACGAATAGAAAATCCATAATCAACTTGCCAGAGAATCTTCAAGCCACCATAATCTGGAAGTTCCACCTCATAAACAGGTACAATGCAAGATTGTACAGTATGTTGCAGTCCATACTTATTCCATTTTCCGCTTGATATTTGCATGAGTTTCTCCATGACTGCTTTGATTGCAAGGGGCTCTAATTTTTTCATATCTGCAATTGCATCACTACTGAGCAAAACATCCCACGGGCCAAGCTCATCATCGTTTGATTCAAATGGTAGGCGAAAAAGTCGTTCATTCATTATTTCTATTTTTTTTCTTTTTTGTTGTTAATCTTATATACGCGTATAAATATATATTATGCATAAAATATATTTTTTGGAGGATTTATGATTACTATTGTTCTTTTTATACACTTTTAATAAGAAAATAAAATGAAATGAATGAAATTTACAAGTAAAACTAGTGTCCCGCTTCTGATTATTTTTTGAAATTACTTTGTAATTATGAATTGTTGAAAAAAACGATAAAGAATTTTTTGTAGAGTAATATATAAGAGAAAATATTTGAATAATATATTATCAAAAAAAAAAAAAAAAATAGAACGGCGATTTTTTCCAATGACTCGTGGGAAAAACAATAATAAAAAGATTGCGATAATGTTTGGAAGGAATTGGTAACCGTGTCATTGTTGCTAATTAAAGAATGATCTTCAAAGAAGGGTTCTACACCTGAAGACCTTTTAAAGTTTAATCGATTTTGAAGCTATAGTGTAATGACAAAATTGCAAATTATTTAAATTAAATTTGAAATAATACAGTCAGGGAGATTTCCAAATTTGGAATTTCCAAATACTGTAATGATTAACATTCTAGATTCATTGTGTAATTCTA